AGTTTTTTTCCCCTTGAAAGCTGAAAATAGCTTCATCAGGCTTATTTGAGCTGAAGATTGGATCACCCACACGTTCAATCTCGGTTAATTATGCATCTTCTTAGTACATATTCACCCCAAGAATAAACAATGTTCTTTAATGTTGCACGTGTTTACAGCCGGAAATTTACATATAATTACTGTAAAATTGTGGTGTACTAAAGACACTACTTCATTCAGACTGAAGTCTCCCCCACCCCTCCCCCTGTCATCGGCAGTGACTTTTTGGCCGCCCCCCCACCCCTCCCTAGACGACGTAATTTGTGCACGCCGCCTAAATTGACGATTATTACTGGCCATGACACTACTTGGAACGGCTAGCATTTGCCATATGAGCTGCACCCCGGCCACATATTCTCACTCACACCCAGAAAATTATTCTTTCTCTTGTGACCTATTTTTATATTATTTTACCAGGTGGCTGACTCACGCCGCGCACTTTCGTAGTTATACTGTACCGCATGCACGGGTGCGGGCGGACTTGCCTATCGTCGCTGCCCACGGCTCCTTGCGGCCCCGTTCGATTAGGCAACCCGGCCGCACGCCTGCATGCGGTACAGTATAACTACAAAAGTGCGCGGCGTGAATCAGCCACCTGGTATTAGAAGCTTCAGTAAGTTTTACTCTTGATTATTGATGATATATCAGCATACAATGTACACTGTTGAGTTTTCGGAGTAATGTTTGGATATCCTACATTTTTCACCAGTGTCCTTAAATGTAAGATTTCCTTGCTACAATTAATCATTGAAAGAATCAGTTCCCTATGTGGACTCACTGCGGTTTCTTGAAGCCCTGCTTTGAGGCGATGTGGCGAAGGGCGTTGTCCACGACGTCGGGTACGTCCACGATGCTCCCGTCCGCATCAGCCATGACTTGTGACGGCTGGTGACTGGTCCGTTGTTTCAGTCGCGGGCTGACAGAGAGACTGGGGGACTTCGCCTAGCTCGCCGGCGACCTAGTGTAGTGTGCCCCGCGCCTCCCGCCACATATAAGTAGTAAAGGCAGACCAACAGAGAGGGGCGGGAGTGGGGGCTTCACTGATTGGAAAATTGCACCATGACGCAGCAGGGCCGTCGGATGTGTTTTCGGTGGGGGACAGTGAGGGGGCAGATTTCTTTATTTTACTTTGGTGACAAGCAAATTATTGTTAGTACTACAATGAAATCAACATAGTGATAGTGGCTATCAGCATAAACTAATACGCTTTTATATTTTTTGTTATATTTTATATTTTTCTTATATTTATTGCGTTACTTAATTGATACTGTCCTTTGCTTCTTATATTTACTTCGCAGGTTGCCGTGATGGGAAACACCTGCTTGCAGTGCGTTCCCGCGCGCACTACTGCCCCCTCTTTCTCATTGCCCGCATCCCTGCGACACGCACCCCCTGCCCCTTTCACTACCCCCCCCCCCCTCTTTCTCTCCTCCTACGTGCCGGCGGACCATCCCTTATGGATAAGCCCCCCGCCTGTCGGGGAGCATTAGAGTGTCGCGCGCCTACCGCCAGACCTATTGATTTCCAGAGAGAGAGAGAGAGAGAGAGAGAGAGAGAGAGAGAGAGAGGCAGGAAGAGAGAGAGTGGGAGGCTGTAAACTTATCGCAGGATTGAGAACTATCGCCACGGCGGCGCGGCCTCTCTTTAAATACATTGTGGTGCGTCGCGGCGGCGGCGCCCGAGAGGTAGGCTGCCGCGCAAGGCCTTGCGACGTTACTTTCCCCAGGGGGTCTGTCCCCCCCCCTCTCTCTCTCTCTTCCCCTTTCCCCCTCCCTCCCTCCCTGCCATACTACCGTTCCCCTCTTTTGTAGCCAATTAATCAGAAAATTCTTTTGCCCCCATCACCAGCTCCAGAGCGACAGGGTAGGGTGGGTCCGGAGTGGAGGAGGTTACTTGAAGAGAGACATGAAGAGAGACCAGCGGAAGGGGCCTCGACGTCATACGAGGCTGTTCGTGACTTCGTGACTCATTTTGAGCGTAAGGTTTGAATTTTGAAAGGGCACCCACTTCTTTTAATCTTTAATTTGTACGAATTTAGGCAATCAAACCGTTGGCACATATTTCTGTATTGTTCGTGCATTCATTTGTTCGAAATCATGTGCTCTCGCGCACAAATTTGGCTGAGGGACGTAGATTTTACCTTAGCACGAAGGTTTATTCACAGAAACATAGAGATAAATTTTGCATGCAGTCGCAGATGCGTGACGCAAAATATTTGCCTTATTTGTTAAACATTTTTGTTGATAGTTTTCAATTTCACTGTAATTTTTTGCTACCAACGCCGTTCTTAAAACAGTGCGCGTCGCGTCGCCCGGGCGGCGGCGGGTCTCCTGCGCAGCAGCAGGAAGCGATCCATCAAATCAAATGTAAATTTCACTTCCCCTCACCTCCTTCCGCGTACCCCCTCCCCCACCTCCTTGCCATGTCCCTGCCTACTTCTCTCCTTTCACCGACACCCCTTCTCTATTTCCTTACCCCCTCAACCCCTCTTTTCCCATCCCCCCGAAGTATTTCCCTTGCTCAGACCCCCTACCCTTCTTCCCCACCCCCTCCCGCTCTCCCGTGCTTGCTGCGTGTTCCCGTTTCACAGAGGCCCGCTGAGATGTTTTCCAGGGGGCGTTAAAGCCCACCTCTCCCCCAGCCTCACTTCTCGTTCCTCCGACTGCGTTTGAAGGCGCCAAACGAAACCCTGCCTGCCTGACTTCTTCAGGCAGCCGGGCCCCTGGCCTTTCCTCGTGGCCCCGGGGGTGCTGAGAGCGGCGACGAGTAGTGCCTGGTCCTGGCGAGGGGACCCGGGACCCCCTCGCAATCGCACGACCCACCCTGGCAATCCATGATAAGCTAGTCTCTAGTGAGTGAGCATCCAAAAACCTAGTTTTTGGCCTAGAGTAAAAAGTAGTCAGTTTTCCGCTCTGCCTAATTCAGAGACCAAATATTCTTCAAGCAACTTTGCAATCATGGTAATGTTGGTTCACTCTAATAGAGAGTTGGTATAGTGCGTGCTTCACCCGTTGGTACATCTCCTCCGTCGTCCTCGTCTAGAAGGTTGTGGTGGAGGTCCAGCAGGCCTTCGGCCCAAAACCGCACCCGGCAGCCTCCTCGCCCCTGATTTTTCTTCTTCTTGTGTTTTTTTTTTCTTTTCCGCCTCTCCTGGGCGCAACCATCGATTCGCCTGACTGGAAGACGATGGGACCTGATTCTTGGCGCCGCCCTCCCCTTTTCGCACCGCACCCCTGATTCCAGCAGCCTCCCCCGCGTGTCGGTCCCCCTCCCCTCCCCACCCTGATGAAGGGAGCAGACAACACCCTGCGCCCCGATATTGCCCG